ATTTATGATATATAGTATAGTATAGTATAATAAACAACTTGAAAGTTTTAAAATAAATATTATGCAGTTTTTTAATTTTTATTCCTCAAATCTGAGTATTTATTTGTTACATATCTGCGTATCGCATCAAGGTTTACTCATTTATTTATTTACAATTATTTACTAATTCATTAATTCCATGTATGGATACGCAACGAATGAATTTTCTGTTTAAGACAACGCAATGCAATGCAAATTTACTATTGTATTTATATTTTCTTTAGCATACAAGTTTTAAAAAAATTAATATATTCAAAAATTCTAAAAAATTTTTAAGAATGCACGAAATAGTTAAAAAATCCTTTTTCATGTTATTTTACTTTTCTTTTTACACATATAATGTACAATAATTTTCCAATATATTTAAAGATTTTTTATTAAATATATATAATATATATTTTTTAAAAAAATTCTATATAATATGTATATGTTATATAAAAAAAATTCGTTATATTTGTTAAGTATTATTACTATTGTAAATAGATATGATTATTATAATTGTGTGAATAAAGCTTAAAATAAATTCAAAAATCTAAATAAGAATTATAAAATATTTATAAAGATTAAAAGTATATGAATAAAAAAATATTTAAATACTTATTAAATTCGCATATATTAAATATATAATATTAAATATATTAAATATATAAAAATATTTAATAAATCTGTCTTTAGCAATATAATCTTTTTTAAGATAAATTTTTATTTATTCAAATGAGTATTATTTATGGTATTTATGAAATATATGTAATAAATATTTTATAACTTTTATATAAAAATGGTTTATTAGATATTACGATCTTACTTTAATTTTTGTTATTATTGATAGCAAAAAAATTTTCAAATAGAATTTTAAAAGTAATAAAAATAAAAGTATTTCGAATAGTTTTCGAATGAAAGATTATTTTAATATTATTAATTTTTTTTTATAAATAAATACATAAGAATATATGAAGGTCATATATTCCATTTTTTTAAATGGAATTATATATTTTTTGCTGCATCAGTTGGTACAATTTAATATTTTCTATAAAAAAGTATTAATTATTTATTTCAAAAATCATTAATTTAACAGATATTTTAACTTGAAATTTATAAAATTTACCATATAAAATATAAAGATACACAAAGATCTATTGTTCATGATCTCCTTATTTTTTATATGACAAATTTTACGAAATTCAAGTTAAAATATTTCTTAAATTAAAAATTTTTTGATATAAATAGTTGAATATTTTTTTGTAAATAAAGAACTTACCCATTAGTAAAAAAATGATTCCATTTTAAAAATTGAAATTATGTTTCACATAAATCTACCTCTTTATGTGTAACATTTATCTATAAAAAATTTAAAATATCGATATTTTTTAATCAAATTAGTAAATAACGATGTATTTTAAATTCAATAGCAAGGAATTTTTACTGATTTGCCTTATTTTATATATACTTATTTATACCTAAAATGTAATTTTTTATTTTAACAAAATAATGTTCCTTATGTTATATTTAAAAAATATAATTCTAAAGCAATATAAAATAATAAAAAAATCTAAAATAATATAAAAAAATAATGATATAAGAATATTTTTTTTATTTCTAATA